AAGCATTCCCCTTAAGATTCAGATGAGCCAGTTGTAGAATTCTGCTGTTCTCGCAGTTGTAGTCGCATTCGCGATGACAGTCACAGTGGCAACGGCAGTCGCAGTCACAGCCTCAGCCTCAGCCTGCCTCAGCCTCAGCCTCAGCCTGCATCAGCCTCAGCCTGCCTCAGCCTCAGCCTCAGCCTGCTTCAGCCTCAGCATCAGTCTGCCTTCAGCCTCGGCCTCAGCCTCAGCCTGCCTCAGCCTCAGCCTGCATCAGCCTCAGCCTCAGCCTCAGCCTGCCTCAGCATCAGCCTGCCTCAGCCTCAGCCTCAGCCTGCCTCAGCCTCAGCCTCAGCCTGCTTCAGCCTCAGCCTCAGTCTGCCTTCAGCCTCGGCCTCAGCCTCAGCCTGCCTCAGCCTCAGCAGCCTGCCTCAGCCTCAGCCTCAGCCTCAGCCTGCCTCAGCCTCATCAGCCTGCCTCAGCCTCAGCCTCAGCCTCAGCCTCAGCAGCCTCAGCCTGAGCCTGCTTCAGCCTCAGCCTCAGTCTGCCTTCAGCCTCGGCCTCAGCCTCAGCCTGCCTCAGCCTCAGCCTGCCTCAGCCTCAGCCTCAGCCTCAGCCTCAGCCTCAGCCTGCCTCAGCCTCAGCCTCAGCCTCAGCCTGCCTCAGCCTCAGCCTGCCTCAGCCTGCCTCAGCCTGCCTCAGCCTCAGCCTCAGCCTCAGCCTCGCCTCAGCATCAGCCTCGGCCTCGGCCGCAGCCTGCCTCAGCCTCAGCTGCATGAGCCTCAGCCTCAGCCTCAGCCTGCCTCAACCTCAGCCTGCCTCAGCCTCGGCCTCAGCCTGCCTCAGCCTCAGCCTCAGCCTCAGCCTGTTTCAGCCTCAGCATCAGCCTGCCTCTGCCTTCAGCCTCAGCCTCAGCCTGCCTCAGCCTCAGCCTCAGCCTGCTTCAGCCTCAGCCTCAGCCTCAGCCTGCGTCAGCCTCAGCCTCAGCCTGCATGCAGCCTCAGCCTCAGCCTCAGCCTGCCTCAGCCTCAGCCTCAGCCTCAGCCTCAGCCTGCCTCAGCCTCAGCCTGCCTCAGCCTCAGCCTGCCTCAGCCTCAGCATCAGTCTGCCTCAGCATTCAAACTGTGGCCCGGGAATGGAGTTCTGGGAACTCGAAGAACACGACAAGGCCTACAGTTGGCTCCGGGCATTCAAAATCATGCCCAGGAATGGAGCTCTGGGAACTGGAAGACCGCGAAGGACATGCCGCAAAAGACATCCGTGCCTCCGGACTGGGAGTTTTGACTGCCTGCCGCCTCCCCGTCTCGGGGGAAAAGAAAGGGGCGGATAAATTATCCCGGCTAAGCAACCAAACAGCGATGTGTAGGAGCATGTCTGGAAGCATTCCCCTTAAGATTCAGATGAGCCAGATGTAGAATTCTGCTGTTCTCGCAGTCGAAGTCGCATTCGCGATGACAGTCGCTGTGGCAACGGCAGTCGCAGTCACAGCCTCAGCCTCAGCCTGCCTCAGCCTCAGCCTCAGCCTGCCTCAGCCTCAGCCTGCCTCAGCCTCAGCCTCCTCAGCCTCAGCTCAGTCTGCCTTCAGCCTCAGCCTGCCTCCTCAGCCTCAGCCTGCCTCAGCCTCAGCCTCAGCCTGCCTCAGCCTCAGCCTCAGCCTCAGCCTGCCTCAGCCTCAGTCAGCCTGCCTCAGCCTCAGCCTCAGCCTGCCTCAGCCTCAGCCTCAGCCTGCCTCAGCCTCAGCCTGCCTCAGCCTCAGCCTCAGCCTGCAGCCTCAGCCTCAGCCTCGGCCTCAGCCTGCAGCCTCAGCCTCAGCCTCAGCCTCAGCCTCAGCCTCAGCCTCAGCCTCAGCCTCAGCCTCAGCCTCAGCCTCAGCCTCAGCCTGCAGCCTCAGCCTCAGCCTCAGCCTCAGCCTCAGCCTCAGCCTCAGCCTGCATCAGCCTCAGCCTCAGCCTCAGCCTGCCTCAGCATCAGCCTGCCTCAGCCTCAGCCTCAGCCTGCAGCCTCAGCCTGCCAGCCTCAGCCTCAGCCTTCAGCCTCAGCCTCAGCCTGCCTCAGCCTCAGCCTGCATCAGCCTCAGCCTCAGCCTCAGCCTCCTCAGCCAGCCTGCCTCAGCCTCAGCCTCAGCCTCAGCCTGCCTCAGCCTCAGCCTCAGCCTGCAGCCTCAGCCTCAGTCTGCCTGCAGCCTCGGCCTCAGCCTCAGCCTGCCTCAGCCTCAGCCTGCCTCAGCCTCAGCCTCAGCCTCAGCCTGCCTCAGCCTCAGCCTGCCTCAGCCTCAGCCTCAGCCTGCCTCAGCCTCAGCCTCAGCCTCAGTCTGCCTTCAGCCTCGGCCTCAGCCTCAGCCTGCCTCAGCCTCAGCCTGCATCAGCCTCAGCCTCAGCCTCAGCCTGCCTCAGCATCAGCCTGCCTCAGCCTCAGCCTCAGCCTGCCTCAGCCTCAGCCTCAGCCTGCTTCAGCCTCAGCCTCAGTCTGCCTTCAGCCTCGGCCTCAGCCTCAGCCTGCCTCAGCCTCAGCCTGCATCACCCTCAGCCTCAGCCTCAGCCTGCCTCAGCATCAGCCTGCCTCAGCCTCAGCCTCAGCCTCAGCCTGCCTCTGCCTCAGCCTCAGCCTGCTTCAGCCTCAGCCTCAGTCTGCCTTCAGCCTCGGCCTCAGCCTCAGCCTGCCTCAGCCTCAGCCTGCAGCCTCAGCCTCAGCCTCAGCCTGCCTCAGCCTCAGCCTCAGCCTCAGCCTGCCTCAGCCTCAGCCTGCCTCAGCCTCAGCCTCAGCCTGCCTCAGCCTCAGCCTCAGCCTGCCAGCCTCAGCCTCAGTCTGCCTTCAGCCTCGGCCTCAGCCTCAGCCTGCCTCAGCCTCAGCCTGCCTCAGCCTCAGCATCAGCCTGCCTCAGCATTCAAAATGTGGCCCGGGAATGGAGTTCTGGGAACTCGAAGAACACGAAGTGGCCTACAGTTGGCTCCGGGCATTCAAAATCATGCCCAGGAATGGAGTTCTGGGAACTCGAAGACCACGAAGTGGCCTACAGTTGGCTCCGGGCATTCAAAATGGCCTACAGTTGGCTCCGGGCATTCAAAATCATGCCCAGGAATGGAGTTCTGGGAACTCGAAGACCACGAAGTGGCCTACAGTTGGCTCCGGGCATTCAAAAACATGCCCAGGAATGGAGTTCTGGGAACTCGAAGAACACGAAGTGGCCTACAGTTGGCTCCGGGCATTCAAAATCATGCCCACGAATGGAGTTCTGGGAACTCGAGGACCACGAAGTACTCCCCGCTTTTCCGCGGCACCCGTCCGGCATCTGCCCAGACCCCCCTGGGGAGTCATGATGCTCTCTTCTGACCCCACTAGAAACCTATCAGTCTTCGCTGTTAGGTAAAAAGGGTAGGGTAGAGAATCAGCTCTCGCAGCTGGCTCCCGGAGGCGCCCATGCATCGAGGAATGGGCCCGGCGGCGGGGCCGACACCAGCTGCATGCAGCAGATTTCGTACTCCCCCACCCCCTTCCTATCCCCCGGGCCCCTCTCGTCCGCCCCTTCCTATCCCCCCGTCCTCCGTGCTCTTGCCCTCCTCCCTCCCCCGCGGCCTGGGCCCGGGCCTTCCAGCGCGCGCGGCGAGTCGCGTTTGCGGGCCCCCCCCGCGCCTCCCCCCCCCCCCGGGGCCGTTCCCGGGGGAGGCGCCTCCGGACGTGTGCCGACCCTTCCCAGGAGGCGCGCAACGCAGCACTGTGCCCGACGTGCGCCCATATCCTCATACGACGACACGACGACGACGACGACGACGACGACGACGACGACGACGACGACGACGACGACGACGCCGCCGCCGCCGCCGCCGCCGCCGACGACGACGACGACGACGACGACGACGACGACGACGACGACGACGACGACGACACCCCCCCGTCCCTCCTCCCTCGCCCGCCTCCCTGCCTCTCCCTCCCGTACTCCCCCGCATCGAGCGCCGCGCTCGCGCTCTCCTCCTCCTCCTCCTCCTCCTCCTCCTCCTCTCCTCCTCCTCCTCCTCCTCCTCCTCCTCTTCCTCCTCCTCCTCTTGGTGCATGGCGCGGAGAGCGTGCAGGCAGCGGGGGGGAGGCGCGCGGTCACGGCTGGGCTCCGACTGGCCGCGGGGGCCGCCCCATCCTGCCGTTCACCCTTCGCCCTCCTCCGCCGCTCGCTGCTCCCCGCTCCTCCTCGTCCTCCTCGTCCTCGCTGCTCCCCGCTCCTCCCCGCTCCTCCTCGTCCTCGTCCTCCTCCTCGTCCTCCTCCTCGTCCTCCTCCTCCTCCTCCTCCTCCTCCTCCTCCTCCTCCTCCTCCTCTCGTTTCCTCCGAAGGGGGGGTGGGAGCAGCGCGGGGCCACGGAGGACGAGCCCGATCGGGCGCTCGCGGACGTGGAGCTGGAATCCGTGGGTCGGCGAGCGCAGTCGGACCCAGGCCTGGAAACATCGCCCAAAGAGCACGAGACACTCCGTCGGCCAAGACAAGCAAAACATCGAGGGGTACCCTCCCAAT